GTCTGGGTGACAGAGTGAGACTCCGACTCAAAAAAAAAAAAAAAAATTAGGCAGACTCTGGAGTCCCAGGACCTGGGTATTAATCCAGACTGTCACTTTCTCATTGTGGCCTTTGGACAAGTCACCAATTAATTTCCCTGGACCTTAGATTTATCATCTGTAAAATGGGGACATTAGTAGTACCAACCTCAAAGTGTTGTAGTGAGGATTAGAGTTAGAGGTAATTTACATACAGTTCTTCTTAGTCCACTGCTTGGTACATAGTAAATGTTAGGTATTGTTATGCTAGGACACTTACATGTAATAAACTTTATTGGTTACATAACCTTCCATCCTTTGTTGGGCCTTCCTTTATTTAACCAGCTTTGCATAGTCATTTCCAACTTTGCCCTATTAGAAATTCACACAAAATAGGCCTAATTGCTGCGTGTGAATTAGAAATTAAATAGCAAAAAATGAAGGAAAAACATTTTCCAAGCCTGAAAAACCAAGACTCCCTTTTTTATCTACAGGAAAACGTGGAGAGAAGGGTGATCGAGGAGAAGTGGGACGTGGGCACCCCGGGATGCCTGGGCTCCCAGGGATCCCAGGTAAGACCTTGGCCATGCTCAGCTACAGTTCTGTGCTTCAGCTAGGGTATCAATGACCCACGGACACCTGGGTCTCGTCTATCGAGGCCTCATCCTCAGCCAGCTCAGTCCTAGACGCCTGGCTTCTGCATCCGTTTGGAGCATCCAGGCGTCCCTCAGTGGAGTCTGGCTGGCAGCTGGCAGCTGGGACTCTGAGGACTTCCTGGGATGCACCCACCATCACTTCATGGAGGGGAAGGTTGGGACATTTGCTCCCAGGGCTTACTGACTGGGAGTTGGGAATGGACAGTCACAGAGTCTCTGTGTCTGGGGCAGGGTCCCTTCATACTATGATGTCCTTGGCCTAATTTTCCCCACCTGAAAAAATTTCATCTCAAGAATTCTAGGGCCGAGACAGGAGGATACCTTGATGTCTGTCTTCCCTTCTCAGGACTCCCAGGCCGGTCTGGCCAGGCAATCAATGGCAAAGATGGAGATCGAGGGTCCGCAGGGGCTCCCGGAGAGGCAGGCCGACCTGGCCTGCCAGGCCCTGTGGGGCTGCCGGGCTTCTGTGAGCCCGCAGCCTGCCTTGCAGCTTCAGCCTATGCCTCTGCCCGCCTGACGGAGCCTGGATCCATCAAGGGGCCATGAGCATCTGGCCTGGACAGAGCCCGGTGGGCATCCTGTGGGGGAAGGACTAGATCCCTTCTGGGTGGACAAGCACTCCAGCCCCAGCCTAGGAAACTGACTCTCCCAGGACCTTCTGTCTGGGGGCCAGGAGTCCTGAGGAAGAGGCATTCCCAAACATGGGGGAAGGGGAGGGAGGGTGCTGAAGTGAAAAGGTGAGGCCAACAGACAGGGCAAGTGTTGCTAGAGAGTTGAAGCTCCAGAGGGAATAGGGTGGCTTTCCTTCCAGAGCGCCACTCAGCTGTTACCAAAACAAATGTCTCCATAATCTGCACCATTCTCCACTGGCCACCTTGTCCTTGGGGCAGTGGGCTGTATGCACCCCGGGATGCCTGGGCTTCCAGGGATCCCAGGTAAGACCTCGGCCCTGCCTAGCTACCGTTCTGTCCCCCAGCTGGGATTAATGACTGAGGTCCCTGACGATTCCTGATGTCATTCTCACTCTCTGGACTTACTGGATGGCTGTTAAGGGGCAGCCAGCCTGTGGTGGCCATCCTCAAGGTAGCCCCACTGCTTCCTTCCTGCCTCCCCTCTGAGTATTTAAACACTATCTCCTTTCTCTTTCTAGCGTAGCTTCCCCACCCCTTTTTCCCCAGACCCACCCAGGCCTTTCTGTAAATAAAAGCCCTCAACTTGGGCATCAACCAGGATGTAAACTGTTGGGCTTCTTTCTTGTGGATGAGAAGGGGGGTTGTCGCTGGGTCTCCATTGCCTGGACAGGACGGTCAGGGATTCTGGAGGGGGAGGGCAAGCTGGGATGCGTACCTCTGGGCCCATGAACTGTGAGCATGAGAATGGCATGGCATATTTGAAGGACGTCTGTGGGAAGAACCAGGATGCAGGAGGGTGACCTGCTGTGGAAACCTGGACGAATCCTGTCCAAGCCTTTGGGGCAAAGACTCAACTGTCTGGTTTCTCCCAGTATTGCACACCCAGTGTCTTGCCAGGGCCTGCCACCTGGAAGATCCTCTGTGAGTTTCAGCACCCAGGGTGCTGGCCCTGGGGCAGGAGCTGGTAGTAAAATACTGGAAGACTTGGCTCTTGTCTTCCAAGGGTTTCCAGGCCCATGAGAAAAGAAGACGTGGACCTGGATGATGAAAGTGTAGGGGAGACTGGCTCAGATCTGCTCTGCACCTGGGCTTCCGGCTCATCGTTCTATATATCAGTGAGCTTTTGATTCAGGGGGTGACCAATCCCTTTGCTCCTTATCAGTGTTGGCAGGTATTGCCCCTTTGAAGTCCTCTGCCAGCCCAGCCCCTCCTGGAGGCATAGAGCTCCAGCCTGAGGTCTAAGCATGTGCTGAAGCCCAGGCCCTCCCGCACCTCACCACAAACTTGACTCCCAGGGACCACCTATGCTAGGACACCCTCCCCTCTTCTTCCTCCTCCCCCGTCACTAGTCATCCTCACTCCCCCACCCATATACATTTACTACTAGTGACACCTCAGCCTCCTTACCCCAATCTAGAGACAGAGGAAGACAAACTGGGGTAGCACTGGGGGCAACTGAGGTGGCTTCACCCTCAGTGCTTTGGCATATCCTGAGCCACGGAATCCCAGCCCCCGCAGAAAGCCCCTTTGCTGCTGTGGCTGCCCGGGGAGCCCTTGGAGCACGGAGAGAGGGCGTTGCTCAGTGGAGGGAGAGGCTGCGAGCTGCAGCAGGCAGCTGGAACCCAGCCCTGGGCAGGCTCCCAGGCGCCACACACTTGGTCCCAGTGCCTGAAACCTTGGGCTCAGACAGCCAGGCTACTTGAAGTTTCCTCATACGCTGGCCCTGGGGCCCTTTCCTTGTCTCTCTCTGCAACCTTCCCCGAGATAGTCCACTGGAGGTTTCAACTGCCACAGAGAAGCTGATGATTCATGAATCTCTCGTAGGGGTGCTCCACATTCCTTCCGACTCAGGTGTTTGAAGGGGCTGAAATGGGGCTAATTCCTAAGGACCAGGACTGGCAGTCTTTGTAAGACTCCCTGGTGGGTGAATTTCACTCAGACTACTTACTGTGATCGATGAGTCTCCCATATGCCTCTCTGACATCGCCTCTGTGCTCAGACCCTGGTATACTCCACTCCAAACACATCAGCCTGTGCTGTTCCTCAAACATGCCACGTCACACACACACAATGCCCTCTGCGTGGAACGCTCTTCTCCAAAATGCCACTGCCAGTGACCTTACTTCAGGTTTTTACAAAAAGTGACCTCATTCCTACCCCGATATTCCAGACACCCTCCTGTGCTTTATGATTTCTCTTTAGCACTTAGCACTATTCAACATAAAACACTAGTACATAAGCTCCATAAGGGCAGAAACCTTGGTTTCCTATTTGCTGTTCTAATCTCCAGTACAGAAAACAGTGCCTGGCACATAGCAGGTTCTCAAGAAATCGTTATTTATTTATTTGAGTTGGAGTTTCACTCTGTTGCCCACGGAGTGCAATGGCACGCTCATGGCCACCACAGCCTCAACCTGCTGGGCTCAGGTGATCCTTCTGCCTCAGCCTTCCAGGTAGCCGGAAATATAGGCACACACCCCTACGTCCGGTTAATTTTTTGATTTATTGTAGAGATGAGGTCTCACCAAGTTGCTCAAGCTGGTCTCGAACCCATGAGCTCAGGTAATCATCTCACCTTGGCCTCCCAAAGTGCTGGAATAGCTGGGCTCGGTGGCTCAGCCTGTAATCTCGCGCCTTTGGGAGGCTGAGGTGAGTGGATTGCCTGAGCCCGCGGTTTCGAGTACTCGGAAGGCTGAGGCGGAAGGATCGCCGGAGCCCAGCAGGTCGAGGCTGCGGTGGCTGGGAGCGGCCACTGCACTCCAGTCTGGGCGACAGAGTGAGACTCCAACTCAAAAAAAAAACAACAAAAAAAAAACCAAAGTGCTGGGATTGTAGGTGTAAGAAATATTAAGTGAATGGATAATATGTTCAGGATGTTCAAAGGAAGACCCTAGCAATCATCAAACCAGGAAGGAGGGATTTGGTCTCCACTTGTGTGTGGCTGAGTTGTGTTCTAAGATGGCCCAGAGTGTTCAAGTCATTCTTTCTATCACCAAGAACAGGGACCGGCCCTCAAGAGCTGACTTTTGGGAAGCAAAAGACTAATGCAACAAAAATGAAGGAGGAATTCGACTCCCGTGTTTACACTAGGAAAAGACAAATCGATGAAGCTTAACAGAAAGCACATTGACAAGACAGCTCAGCCCCTTTGCCGATGTTCAACATGGTGTCTGCAGCCTGCCCACACCCACTGCTACTGACTCTTTCAAACTTGACCTCTCTGGCAACCCTCTCCTCATCCCAGTGGCCAGCTGGGTTGGAACTTTGGCTAATTTTGTGCTTATTTACATAATAGCCATTATGGTGGATTACCAATATCACTAAGTACCAGTTATTAAGCTCTTATATTTATCAGGTACTGTGCTAAGTGCCCTGCAAACATTATCTCACTCTATCCCTACAAAGGTCCGGTAAAGCAGGGCTTATCCTCATCTGTCTTGTTAAAAAAGAAAATCTCAGTCGGGCTCGGTGGCTCAACCTATAATCCTGCGCCTTTGGGAGGCCGAGGTGAGTGGATTGCCTGAGCCCGCGGGTTCGAGACCCGCCTGGCCAACTTGGCGAGACCTCATCTCTACAATAAATCAAAAAAATTAGCCGGGCGTGGCAGCGCCCACCTGTAGTTCCAGCTACTTGGAAGGCTGAGGCGGAAGGATCGCCGGAGCCCAGCAGGTCGAGACTGCGGTGGCTGGGAGCGGCCACTGCACTCCAGTCTGGGCAACAGAGTGAGACTCCAACTCAAAAAAAAGAAAATCTCTTTCTCAACCCCACGTTCCCCTCTAGCTACCACCCCCAAATCTTGCTTCCTTCTATGGGAAGAAGGGCTGCCTTCCTTGGCTTGTTGTTCACCACACTGTTCTCAAGCACCTTTGCTGATTTCCCGTCTCCCCCATATCTGAGTCACTCGGTCCTTGGACCACATCATTTTTCTCTGGCTCCTCTCACGTCTCACTGTTTCATGTCTTGAAACTCCACCTGTATATCCCCAGTCCAGACCTCCCGCTTAACTCCGTTCATTTACCCAGCTGCCTACTCCACATTTCCCCTTCGATGTCTGGCAGCCATCTCAAATTTAACACGTTCGAAACCGAACTCTGGATCTTCCCCTCCCAAATCGCCCCTCCTGCAGTCTTCCCCATCTCCCTTGATGGAGACGCCATCCTTTCAGTTATTTAAGCCAGATACACTGGAGTCATACCCCGTTCCTGCTTCTTTCTTCTCTCACACCCCACATTTCATCAGCATATCCTATTGGCTCAGCCCTTAAAATGTATCCAGGAACCAATCACTTCTCATCACTTCCTGACTGTCATACCTTGGCCTCAAAACCCTTACTTCCCACCACACGCAGGTAAAAGCCTGAGTTTTTACAACGGCTTACAAGGCTCTGTAAAATCTTTCCCCCCCACCCCCCTTTATTTCCCATGGCTTCCACCTAGTATGCACCTTTGCAGCCACCCTGGCCTTCTGGTGTTTCTCAAACACACCTGGCAGGATCCCACTTCAAGGCCTTTACACTGGTTTTCCCCTCTTCCTGGGCTGAGCTTCCCTTCGAAGTTCAGGTCTTGGTTCAAACATTACCTTCATTATTTTTGTGACTGCCCATTTGAAATTGTAACTCCAGAGGCCAGGCATAGTGACTCAAGTCTGTAATCCCAGCATTTTAGGAAACCGAGGTAGGAGGATCACTTGAGCTCAAGAGTTTGAGACCAGTCTGTGCAACATAGCAAGACCTCATCTCTATAAAATAAAAATTAAAAAAACAGCTGGGTGTGGTAGCATGTGCCTATAGTCCCAGCTACTCGGGAGGCTGAGGTGGGAGGATTGCCTGAGCCCGGGAGTTTGAGGCTGCAGTGAGACTGTGACCCTGACACTGCACTCTAACCTGGGTGACAGAGTGAGACACCCACTCAAAAACAAATAAATAGAGCCAGGCGTGGTGGTTCACACCTGTAATTCCAGCACTTTGCGAAGTGGAGGCGAGAGGATTGCCTGAGCTCAGGGATTCGAGACTACCCTGGGCAACTTGGCGAGACCTCATCTCTACAATAAATCAAAAAGTTAGCCAGGCATGGTGGCGCATGCTCTGTAATCCAACATGCCACTTACTAGTAAGACTTTGGGTAAGAAACTTGACTGAGCCTACGTTTCTCCAACTGTCCCCACACTAGACCAGGTTCTGCTCTAGGTGCTAGGGAACATATTAGTAAAAAGGCACAAAAACCCTCCACTTCATGGAGTTTCCATTCTAGTATGAGGAAGACAGATAACCAAAGTATATCCAATAAATAGTAAATGGTAATACATGTTTTGGAGAAAAAAGGAGGGTCTGAGGTGTTTGTGTGGGGGGGAAGGGGAGTTACAATTTTATTTATTTCTGAGTTGGAGTCTCACTCTGTTGCCTAGGCTGGAGTGCAGTGGCATGCTGATAGCCACTGCAGCCTCGACTTGCTGGGCTCAGATGATCCTTCTGTCTCAGCCTCCAAGTAGCTGGAACCACAGGTGTGCGCCACCACGTCTGGCTAATTTTATGATTTATTGTAGAGACGAGGTCTTGCCATGTTGCTCAGGCTGGTCTCGAACTCCTAAGCTCAGGCAATCCTGTCACCTCAGCCTCCCAAGTGCTGGGATTACAGGTGTGAGCCACTGCGCCTGGTCATTATCTGTTATTAACCATCATTCAGAGAGCCAGAGGGGAGCTTTGACCCCAGGGCAGAGGCTGTTTTCAGTTTACTGGGTAGTTCTGGTTTCACAGGTTTTTAGAATATACAGGGAGTTATCTTCCTACCTGTGTCTGGTCAAACTGTTTAGGAAATACTTCTCTCTAGAAACTATCCTGGGTAAAGAAGAGCCCAAGGTTTCCTTACCCACCTTGTCTGAATAGGACTATCCCATTCTGATACGGACACCCGCTATTGTCTGTTCATATTGTCGCAACCCCTAGAGAAGGGCACGGCAAGTATTTGAGTGCTCCTGCACCCACGTACCCAGATTCCTGAGAGTTAACAAAAAGGATGCTTCCCCTTATCTCTTATGCACTCCCAATAAGTAACTTCAAAGAATACTTAACTTCCCTGCAGACTGTGCCCAATTAACTGAGAGATGTAAATCCCCATTTACTCCCTTTTCCAGCTTACTTTGAAAATGTGGGGTACAATTCAAGATTAGGTATACAAGTGGACATCGTACAGGTAAAGTTTGGGCCTCTCTTTGGTCCCCACTTTGACTGGTTACACCCTTTTTTTTTTTTTTTAAGTCAGTCTCACTCTGTTGCCCAGGCTGGAGTGCAGTGGCATGCACGGTCACCACAGCCTCGACCTGCTGGGCTCAGGCAATCTTTCTGCCTCAGCCTTCCAAGTAGCTGGAACTACAGGCACATGCCACCATGCCCAGCTAATTTTTTGATTTGTTGTAGAGATGAAGTCTCACCAAGTTTCCCAGGCTGATCGCGAACCCTTGGGCTTAGGCAATCCTCTCACCTCGGCCTCTCAAAGTGCTGGGATTATAGGCATGAACCACCATGCCTGGTCTCCCTTTTCTTTTTTTTTTTGCGTTGGAGTCTCACTCGGTCGCCCAGACTGGAGTGCAGTGGCTGCTCCCAGCCACCGCAGCCTCGACCTGCTGGGCTCCGGCGATCCTTCCGCCTCAGCCTTCTGAGTAGCCGGAATTACAGGCATGCACTACCACGACCGGCTGATTTTTTCATTTATTGTAGAAATGAGGTATAACTTTTGTATCAATGTAATCATAAGTCTTGTCATTTGTATAACTTTTGCATATAACAACATCTATGAAGTAACAACATACGATGTCTTAGGCCCTATTAACTCGTTTTACTCTGTGGCAGGCTTGGTTAACACTTCTGCTGGGTGTTGCTGATAAAAATCTGTGAGATACCTCTGGTAACTGGTGCCTAGAAATGCGGACCATTTATGACCATAAATGGTCATTACTGACAAAATGTGGCAGTAACTTAGGTTCCATGTAAAGCTCTGACAGTCACATAGTCAATGTATCAGTATGAACTACCCTGAACATATAAAAGCGGGCTCTAAAACTTGAAAGGTGAGCAGAACCATTTTAAAGAGGACAAAAGTCCACTCTGCTCCCTGGATTCGAATTCAGAAATAAAACTCATTCTACCAGCTCCCTGCCCCTTTATTGGTATCAAGGGAGAGAAGCTGAGCGTTACTTGGACCGTAACAATTCTACAATGGGTTACTTTTCCCTTCTCACCAAACCATACACGGCCGGAAACACAAGCTTTAAGGTTGCTTGCTCACATCATTGTGGTCTTGAATCAAAAGTTTTTGGATACGCTTTTTGGATAATAAATTCTCTGTAATTTTCTCTGTGCAGCCCCCTAGGACAGAACTTAAGGCCTCAAGTAGTACTGAGTAATTTTTGCGCTAATGATGGTCGAATACTCCAAACAGTCAAAACGACTACAAGTATATGCATACAAAAGCACCTAGAGGATTGTGGGAAAGACCAAGTGGAAGAAAGTTTCCTTAGAGAGGGGAAGACTACATGAAGGATTAGGAACAGCAGTGGACATATGAAGTGTAAGGGCCAAGCTGGGACCATCATTGACACTAAAACCAATGAACTGACTCCAGGAATTCTGCTTCTATCCAAAACAGAGGCAGATTTTACTAGCAGCTCTCAGACCTCAGCAAAGGGCCTGCTCAGATAAAAGCAGTGCATACATTCAAGAGATTCCACCTTGGATTCAGAGATTAACCCTGCAGGAGGCGTGCCATTTTACCTAAGGCTTTGACCTACTCGATTCTGCCTTCTGCGCACAAGTGCCATCTATTTCCTTCATTGGTTAGCCTGCCTACTCCTTTTCCTGGTTGGTCAATGTCAGGAACTCACCAGTCTCCTTTTGACCATCCTCATGCCTCTGCCATCTATAATGTCAGATATTGAAAAGCGGATTACTATCTGGTTTAGAGGCTGTTCTCTTCACCATCCCCTATAAGCAGGGTGTTTAGGTAAGCCTGCACAGGGGGTCCTGCTTGCTTTCTCTTTATGCCAGTGGTGATGGGGGAATTGTTGCCTGAGAGTTTTGGGGATGACCGAACACATGGCACATAGCATATGGCATTGGCCAGATGAGAGTAAAATCAGCTTATGGGTAATGTATACTAAATTGCCTCATGCATTCAATAGGAAAACCGACACAGCGGAGGAAGAGATGTCTGCTGGTGTCATGGCCAGCAGGATCTCTCTTCATAAGCAACATAGTCTCGACACACTACTTTAGGACCCTAGATCAGCTTAGCCACTGAACCCTGTCAGTATTTTCTCCTTCAAAAGAAGCCCAAGCCAGGCTCGGTGGCTCAGCCTGTAATCCTGCGCCTTTGGGAGGCTGAGGTGAGTGGATTGCCTGAGCCCGCGGGTTCGAGACCCGCCTGGGCAGGCGAGACCTCATCTCTACAAGAAATCAAAAAATTAGCCGGGCGTGGGGGCGCATGCCTGTAATTCTGGCTACTTGGAAGGCTGAGGCGGAAGGATCGCTGGAGCCCAGCAGGTCGAGGCTGTGATGGCCGGGAGCGGCCACTGCACTCCAGTCTGGGCGACAGAGTGAGGCTCCAACTCAAAAAAAAAAAAAAAAAAGAAGTCCATCCCCTCTCAATGTCTGCATCTAGTCCCTCCTCTGGAGGTTTCAGTCCTTGTCAAGTCTCCTCCTTTGGTTTTACTGTTTGGTTTACGTTTGAAAGAAGTTCAAAGACATGCCAGGTTTTCTGAAACTCCAGCTGCTGAAATATTAAGGCCTGTTGTCGTGTATGTTTTAAAGTTAATGGGCAAATTGCAGAAATAAAATTTCAAGAGTTCAAATGGTTAACCTTCAACTATAGGGTTAAATAAAATCTTCTAAGCTCTCTATTTCTCTTTTTTCTTTTCTGCCTGTTTTGAATTTGCAACTAAGCTGCTGATGCTGAGATGAAACTCCGTTTCAAGGTTCAGCCAGTTCTAACTGAAATATAAACATTGAAAATTCATTTGAAACTGAGGAAAAAAGATAAAAGATGTTTTAAAAATTAAACTTACATGCAACCTGCTTTACCCTAATTCTGGTCCACAGCCTTTACTGGATTGCCCTAATGGGGCAAAGTTTAGCCATGAAAACAGTTTCCAATTTTGTTAGAGATAGAATTTGTATCACTTGTAAATGGTGAGCTTATTGCTGTTTCATGGTTAGAATTCAAAAGTAAAGGTTATTGGCTCTTTGTTTATATATGTGGTGCAGGTTTAAATATATTTACAAACATGTATGTTATGTATTTTGTCTAGCATGCCATCAAATTGGCTTATAAGTAAATGAGTACTTACAAATTAAATAAATAGATCTAAATGCTTTCCAAGTTCGTGTGACTTTAATGATTTTTGGTAAATAAAAATGGCTTTAAAATTACTGATAGAGGCCGGGCTCGGTGGCTCAGCCTGTAATCCCATGCCTTTGGGAGGCTGAGATGAGTGGATTGCCTGAGCCTGCGGGTTCGAGACCCACCTGGGCAACTTGGCGAGACCTCATCTCTACAATAAATCAAAAATGAGCCAGGCGTGGTAGCACGCGCCTGTAGTTCCAGCTATACTTGGAAGGCTGAGGCGGAAGGATTGCTGGAGCCCAGCAGGCGAGGCTGCGGTGGCCGGGAGCGGCCACTGCACTCCAGTCTGGGCGACAGAGTGAAACACCAACTCAAAAAATAAATAAATAAAAATAAAATAAAATAAAATAATTGATAGAGCCAGGCACAGTGGCTCACGCCTATAATCCCAGCACTTTGGGAGGCCAAGGTGAGAGGATTGCCCAAGCCCACGGATTCAATACCAGTCTGGGCAACTTGGTGAGACCTCATCTCTATAATAAATCAAAAATTAGCCAGGTGTGGTGGCACGCGCCTGTAGTTCCAGCTACTTGGAAGGCTGGGGCGGAAGGATCATCGGAGCCCAGCAGGTGGAGGCTATGGTGGCTGTGAGTGTGCCACTGCTCTCCAACCTGTGCGACAGAGTAAGACTCCAACTCAAAATAAAATCAAATAATTGATAAAGTGGAAAAAAAAAAGTAGCAGATTACTGCTGCCATATGTGAGGAAGACCAAACAGGCACTTGGAGCAGACCAGGCAGCCCCAAGACAATTTGAGGTTATAAAAATAGGGAAGGAACGACCCCAAATGAAGCTTTTAAGGAAACATTAAGAACTGGTGATACTAGGCTGGGTGCGGTGGCTCACACCTGTAATCCCAGCACTTTGGGAGGCAGAGGTGAGAGAATTTCCTGAGTCCAGAGGTTCGTGACCAGCTTGGGCAACTTGGCGAGACCTCATCTCTAAAAAGTTTTTTAAATAAATAAATAAAAAAGAACTGGTGATACTCTGGAGTGGAGCAGGAGGAGGCCACTGAAGAGGGCTCTGAGTGAGGCACGTGGTGGTGCCGACACCACTCAGCCTTAGGGCTACTTCTTCATACCCTTCTTCACATGCTAGCCGCCCCTGTCCTTCCTCTAGGGTAAGAAACATGTATCTTGGTTACAAATGACAAGCACATTATAGCAAATTAAAGACAATACATCAATCTGCATTGGCAATTTTTAATGTTTCACTTGTGCAGAACTGAAATTTGTATTTAAAGGCACAGAAGGAAGGAAAGGCAGTTATCAGAGCATGAAATCACAGACAAAGGATGGTGGATAGAAATCACAGGACTGCTCCTCTTCAGCTTAGGAAAATAAATAATGCAGTGCAAAACTAGATTTTTATTTTATTACACCTTCATGTGAAGATACCACCCAGTGTCAGCGGAGCAAGAGTTTATGGCCACATACCAAAGGTGCACAGTAGATGCCACTTTGGGATAAATGCCCAGAAGGTAAACATTATCAGTGAGTGGGAGCTCCAGGCACAAAATAAGTTCTCATTCAGAAAGTGAACAGAGATATGAAGCAGTCAAACAGACGGTGTTTAAAACTGGAAACCTTGCCTGATATCTATTTTGGAAGTAAACATTATTTGCATATCAAGAACTATAATTTTCAAAAGTGGAATCAGGCCTGATTAAATAGTTCTTATGACTTCCTGATAAAAATTACAAAAATAAAAACTAAAACTTTTCTGTCCTTGAAAGAGATAAAAAACTATATTTTTTCTGGTAATATCATAAGAGAAACACCAATATTTCACCCTATGTCTCTTAGGATGTCATTCTTCTTCTTTCATGTTCTGCCTCTTTTAACATAGTAAAGCCTGTTCAATATGGCCAACTCTGCTAAGTGAAAAGATGCATTATTTACTGAACGAATGAGAAAAAGCTACAATTTGATCCTAACAGGACCATTCTACCAGGTGGAAAGATAAAGACTGAGATTTTCTTAAAAATAAAAACAAAATTAATTATTTAAAACATTCTATATATAATTTCTCATTTCAAAGCGCTATTAGAAATTCTTGATCAGTGTGTGGCAAGAGAGGAAACAGAAATTCAAAATTTGGTAGAACAGGAGCGCATAGTTCTAACTACTTTCATTTAAGTAACATTAGCCTTACCAACTATTATCTTTCTTTCTTATTTAAAACACTGATTGGCCAGGTTAAATCATAACTGGATGAAAGTAAAAGCAAATTTCAACTTAAGTATGAGTACAATGATTCGGGACCACCGTTTCTGCCTCACAGAAAGGAATAAGAGGTGGAATTCTCCCTTTTAAACGTATGCCCCCAAACACCTTATATGTAGATTCCACATACATATATAAATAAAACAAGTTCTGTATTTTCTGAAATAATTTTACAAGTTGATGGTAAATTAGATGTAAAAGAGACATTAGGTGTCATAAGAGAAAACTATGCCTTTAAAAACAGTAAGCATCAAAATTCAATCCAGTGTTTTCTTTAAGAAGTGGATTATTAAAATCATTTTTGAAATGAGATATTAAATGTATTTAAATCTATTCTTTTCTGTACTTAATAATTTTTCTTTAAAAAAAATTTTTAAGAACATCAAGAGCTGGAACATGCTGCCAGGACAGAAATAATCAGAAATGTCTTCAGTCATAAACCTCGAGCATCTCAGTCTTGTTTTGTACTTTTCAAAGCTTGAAGTCTCTCTAAAAGCGGAGGATGAGAATAATGCCACATTGAAAACAACCAGTCAGAGACAGGGAATCCCAAGTTATCTTTGTTAAGTTTGATTAAAGCAGAATATAAGTCTTTAGCCTTCCCGAGTTTCTTGGCAAATGCATCAGCTTGAAACTCAAATCTGCGACTTAGGACTGTCAGGCAAAAAGAAAGAACCTGGAAAAGTAAGTGAAAGGGTTTTAGCCACTGTCCACTTGTTTGTTGTCACTGAAGGTTATAAGAACAGAAACTGTAGAGGGTATTTGGCTTAGGATAGGAGAAATGGCAGGCCTCAAGAAAATCACTAGTATTTAGGGGACGGAGGGTGAGGGAATTATAAATTGAGTCTTATTTTCCCTATGTCAACAGGCCAGAAACAGGCAAGTTGAGCATCTCTAATCTGAAAACCTGAAATCCTAAATGCTCCAGAATTCTAAACATTTGGAATATTGACACGATGCTTGAAGGTCATTCCCAAAGAAAATGCTTACTGGAGCATTTTAGACTTCAGATTTCCACATTAGAGATACTCAGCTGGTAAATATAATGCAAACATTCCAAAACCCAAAAATATCTAAAATCTGAAACACTTCTGGTCTCAAGTATTTTGGATAAGGAATACTCAAACCTGTATATCCAAATGAATGTTAGTCGGGCACGGTGGCTCATGTCTGTAATCCCAGCACTTTGGGAGGCAGAGGTAAGAGGATTCCCTGAGCCCATGGGTTTGAGACCAGCCTGGGCAACTTGGGGAGACCTCGCCTCTACAGTAAGTAAAAAAATTAGCCAACTGTGGTGGTGTGTGCCTGTAGTTCCAGTTACTTGGAAGGCTGAGGAAGAAGGATCACCTGAGCCCAGCAGATTAGGGCTGTGGTGGTTATGAGCATACCACTGCACTCCAGCTTGGACAACAGAATGAGACTCTGACTCAAAAAACAAAAAACAAAGCAAAACAAAAAAGTTAGCCTCATTAAATAGTAACAATTTTAGAGAAAGTGCCATGCGCTGAAAACAGATATTTCCCAACAACCTCTTACTCCAACTTTATAGATGAGGAATGTGAAGCTCAGACAGGTAGTTAACTGGCTGGAGATCACACAGTTAAAAGATGGTAGTGCTGAAATTCTTGGTGACTTTTTTTTTTGGAGTTGGAGTTTCACTCTGTTACCCAGGCCGGAGTGCAGTGGCATGCCCGTGGCCACCCCAGTCTCGACCTGCTGGGCTCAGGCAGTCCTTCTGCCTTAGCCTTTTAAGTAGCTGGAACCACAGATGTGTACCACCATGCCTGGCTAATTTTTCTTGATTTATTGTTGCCCAGGCTGGTCTCAGGCAGTCCTTTCACCTCCACCTCACCACGTGCTGGGATTACAGACATGAGCCATAGTGCTGGCCCTGGTGACTCTAAAACCAATGCATACTACCTTTCTCAGCATCAGAGTTAAGTTATGGTAATTTATACTCAGACTCTCTCTCTTTGTGTGTGTGTGTGTGGATACTCTTGATCATTGTCTACCTTTAAAGACTAATAACAGTCTTTATTGAGATTATTCTAAAAAATATGTGGCAGCCTCTAATGACAATCTTAACATTTAGTTTTTTAAAGTGTATGAGCTATGGCAACATTATCAGAATAAGCAAATGATTTCTGAAGGTGACAAATTTCACTTGAAAATATAAATTCTGAGGGAAAAATAATTTGTTTGCCTATGGAAGTAATGCAAGTTAAATGATATGAAGCCAATTTCTTGAAGTACTTAAAAATGTTAAGAAAAAGAAAATGCCAGCCATGGTGACTCACGCCTGTAATCCAAGCAGCTTGGGAGGCAGAGGCAAGAGGATTATCTAAGCCCAGAGGTTTGAGACCAGCCTGGGCAACATTGTGAGATGTTGTCTCTACAATAGTTCAAAAAATTAGCCAGGAATGGCGGCACGCAACTGTAGTTTCAGCTACTTGGAAGGCTGAGGCAGAAGGATCACTTGAGTCCAGCAGGTCGAGGCTACAGTGGCCATTAGTGTGCTACTGCACTCCAGCCTGGGTGACAAAGTGAAACTCTGATTAAAAGGAAAAAAAAAAAAAAGGTAAGAAATCTCCTGTTTATTTGCCAGTAGCAAATACAGAGTTTCAATATAAAGTTTGGGGCTGGGTGTGGTGGCTAACACCTGTAATCCCAGCACTCCGGGAGGCCAAGGTGAGAGGACTGCCTGAGTCCAGGGGTTTGAGACCAACCTGGGGAACTTGGTGAGACCTCATCTCTTCAATAAATCAAAAACTTAGCTGGGTATAGTGGTGCACACCTGTAGTTTCAGCTACTTGGAAGGCTGAGCCAGAAGGAGCACCTGAGCCCAGCAGGTTGAGGCTGCAGTGACCATGAGCATGCCACTGCACTCCAGCTGGGGTGACAAAGTTAAACCTTGGTTCAAAAAAATAAAAAAATAAGGTTTGGGAGTCTCTGATAGCTTCTCAGATATGAGGGAGGACCCAAAAAAATCCCAGAATTAAATCTTTTGGAGGATGGGCCCCTCGTAGCACACTTGCAAATTATTCCTCCGGATCAAATGGTCAACCAAAGTTTTTATCTGGGAGTTTTGAAAGTATTGAGTCACAATTTTCAGAAGAAATGTCCCGAGCTGTGGCAAACAGGTGACTGGTTCTTCCACCATGACAATGCACCTATCTACAATGTGCTGAGTGTTCAGCAGTGTTTGACCAAAACAGCATGATCCCTGTGCCCCACTTTCCCTATTCACCTGATCTCAACCCAAGTGACTTTTTTTTGTTTCCCCAAATGAAAACAGTCCTCAAAGGGGAATGTTTTGCCCATGTGGAAGAGGTGGAAGAAAAAATAACAGAAGCACTAAAAGGCATCAAAATTGACGAGTTCAAAAACTGTTTTGAGCAAATGTAGTGGCTCATACCTGTAATCCCAGAACTTTGGGAGGCAGAGGCAAGAGGATTGCCTGAGCCCAGGAGTTTGAAACCAGCCTGGGAAACTTGGCGAGACCTTGTCTCTACAATAAATAAAAAAATTAGCTGGGCGTGGTGGTGTGTGCCTGTGGTTCTAGCTGTTTGGAAGGCTGAGGCAGTAGGACCACTTGAGCCCAGCCGATTGAGGCTGCAGTGGCTGTGAATGTGTCACTATACTCCAGCCTGGGTGACAGAGTAAGACTCTGACTCAAAAACAACAAACTGTTTTGAGTAGTGGAAAAAGTATCTCGATATGTGTATTGCATCAAATAGAGAGTACTTTGAAGGTGACTGAAATTTTAAGCATGTAAAAATAAATATATAATTTTTTAATAAATAAATTCCAGTTTTTTGGGGTCCCCATCATAAGTCAAAGCTGATAACTGCATTCTGTCTAAAATTTTAAAAAATATCTTGAATATAAATTTTGGGATAGAATCATTAACTGGGTTCAATAAATCTCTCTCTCTTCAGATTTTAAGCCTCTCAGACTTTTTTTTTTCTTTTTTGAGTTGGAGTCTCACTCTGTCGCCCAGACTGGAGTGCAGTAGCACGCTCCTGGCCACCGCAGCCTCGACTTGCTGGGCTCCAGCGATTCTTCTGCCTCAGCCTTCTAAGTAGCTGGAACTACAGGTGTACGCTACCACGCCCGGCTAATTTTTTGATTTACTGTAGAGATGAGGTCTCGCCAAGTTGCCCAGGTGGGTCTCGAACCTGCGGGCTCAGGCAATCCACTCACCTAAGCCTCCCAAAGCACGGGATTACAGACTGAGCCACTGACTTAAATCTTACTATTACACATAAAAACATAAGCAGATACTAACTTGAACCTATATGCTTTGCCACAGGTTTCCAAACATTTATTTATTTATTTATTTATTGTAGAGATGAGGTCTTGCCAAGTTGCCCAGGCTGGTCTCAAATTCCTGGGCTCAGGTAATCCTCCTACCTTGGCCTCCCAAAGTGCTGGGATTACAAGTGTGAGCCACCGTACTCGGCCCAAACTTTTCTTTCCAAGGGAGATCTTTCCCAGGAAAATGTCCTCTTTCCTTTCATGACCTCTTAAACTTTGACACTAAATATAAGATTTTCTGCTTAAATAACTATACTTTTTGAAACAAACCTCCTGGGCTCTCTAAGTTTTAAAAAATAGTTGCCTCCCGGCCAGGTGCAGTGGCTTATGCCTATAATCCCAGCACTTTGGGAAGCTGAGGTGAGAGGATTGCCTGAGCCCACAGATTCGAGACCAGTCTGGGCAACTTGGCGAGACCTCGTCTCTACAATAAATCAAAAAATTAGCCAGGTTTGCTGGCACGTGCCTGTAATTCCAGCTACTTGGAAGGCTGAGCCAGAAGGATCACCTGAACCTAGCAGGTCGAGGCTGCAGTGGTCATGAGTGTGCCACTGCACTCCAGCCTGGGTGACAGAGTGAGATTCCAACTAAAAAAAAAAAAAAAAAAAGTTGCTTCCCAGTACTTTGGTAGGCTGAGGCAGGAAGTATTGCTTGAAGTCAAGAGATCAAGTTTAGCCTGGACAACATAGCAAGACCCTGTCTTCACAAAAAAGAAAATCAACCTGATATAGTGGCACTTGCCTATAGTCCCAGCTACTCAGGAGGCTGAGGTGGGAGGATCACCTGAGCCCAGAAGTTTAAGGTTACAGTGAGGAAAGATCATGCCACTGCATTCCAGCCTGGGCATCAGAGTAATACCAGTCTATAAAAAACGTAATTAATTAAAAATAAATAAATAAAATAAAAGTTGCTAACACCTCTGTGGATTAATCACATTTCAAATTACTCTACTACCCCACATATATTTACATACTTTAAAAAGTGAATTCAACCACTGAATATTAGAAAACAAACATGGCTGGGCGTAGTGGCTCACGCTTATAATCCCAGCACTTTGGGAGGCTGAGGTGAGAGGAATGCCTGAGCCCACAGGTTCGAGACCAGCCTGAGCAAGTTGGTGAGACCTCATCTCTACAATAAATCAAAAAATTAGCTGGGTTTGGTGGTGCATGACTATAGTCCCAGCTACTTGGAAGGCTGAGGTGGAAGGATCACCTGAGCCTAGTAGGTCAAGGCTGTGGTGGCCGTGAGCGTGCTACTGTATTCCAGCCTGGGTGACAGAGTAAGATGCCAACTCAAAAAAAAAAGAAAACAAAACAAACAGAAGAGAAAACCCTCGGAGCAGGCAAAATAGATGCCACAAAAGACAACCACTAGCACTACTCATGCCTTTACTTATAAGAAGACCCCATTACTTAGAATCTAGTAACTCTTACTTAATGAGTTTGACTATCTGATTTCCCAGGGTATGGCAGGTTAAACAACAAAATGAGGGATAATGACCATGATGGAAAGTCACACCGATAGTAGCAAGGACTATCAGCCTGACAATGAGGAAAAAAAAAAAACCCAAAAAAGTTGCATAAAAAATAAATAGCAAGCCGGGCTCGGTGGCTCAGCCTGTAATCCCGCGCCTTTGGGAGGCTGAGGTGAGTGGATTGCCTGAGCCCGCGGGTTCGAGACCCGCCTGGGCAGGCGAGACCTCATCTCTACAAAAAATCAAAAAATTAGCCGGGTGTGGTAGCGCGCGCCTGTAGTTCCAGCTACTTGGAGGGCTGAGGGCGGAAGGATCGCCGGAGCCCAGCAGGTCCAGGCTGTGGTGGCTGGGAGCGGCCACTGCACTCCAGTCTGGGCGACAGAGTGAGACTCCAACTCAAAAAACAAACAAACAAACAAAAAAAAATAAATAGCACAACTGCTTAAAAAGCAGAGCAGTCTGGGTTATTTAGTATAATACTAAGCTCAGTATCCTAAAGGCATTCCTGAATTGTGACAGAAGGCAAAAATGATGATATCATTATAAGCTATTCTATAACTTCTGATTTTAAGCAGTGACAAACTGTAGAAGGCATTTTGTAAATATTTTCAATAAAAGTTAAAACTAAAACTTTTAGAGTTTAAAGATAATGCATGTCATTTTTCTGCAAAATTTACTTAGTTTATGTGAACAATGCTATAAAAATATGATCTATTACCCTTCATTTTTCTTTCATGGTGCCCCCACCCACATACTTTTTAAATTGTTTGAGAAATAGGATTTATTTAGCTTGTCTTTAAACCTTAACTTCACAATCTGTCCCAAGAAAGAATTACTCTGAATGACGATACCTCAGGATTCCCTATATGATTTCTCAGTTTAATTCAGAAGCCTTACCAAGCATCATGAAATGTCACCATTGCCAGGTTTGTTATATACAGTCTCATTAGCCTATGCCTTATAGCAAGCTACTACAGAGCAATAGTTCTTAAACTTCAATTACCATAAAATACCTACTTTTGATTTTAGGGGTCTTGGGTAGAACTTTAAGGCTATTTCGAGGCAGTTGGTCATGAAGCACAAAGAACACTGCCATTCGGTCTCCCTTATGGAGCCGTATACATACTTTGTTTTGTCCCCTCACCCACAGATTTTCACCCAAGCACTGATAAATATGTGGCCTAGGACATATCATTCCAATAGTTAGTCTCCATTTACCAAGTCCTCAGATACAAGTTATGTAAAGGTACTCACCACTGAAGTCTAATTCTCTACTTATTTTTCCCTAACAATGTGCAGGCACTTATTTATTTGGGCTGGGATTTTTCTACTACTTTCTCATACTGGCCAGTAAATCAAGGGACTAAAATATCTTGTTTCATCTATCTATTAAAACTGTACAATCTTGTTTACTTCTCTTTTACTACCCTAAAGATTCTAGATTTGGAGCAGGCAAAGGCATGTTGTGATATAATTTTAAAGATTGTACATTACCTCATTGTAAGGTGAAAAAATAAACTGGAAGATGATCAATAGTCCAATTAGAGTGGGTTGGCTGTCATAAAAACCAAATGCAGCAAAAAGCTCCTTTTGACCAATTAATACAGCAAATAAGAAAAAACACAGGAAAGAATTCATCTAGAAAGAAGGACATAAAATGTCTAAGTTATTATGAAGTCAATTTTACTATGGGATCAACAGTACCCAAAAAGTACAAGAAAGCACAGTGTGATTTTAAGAAAGGTATCATAGTGTGATCACAGAAAAAGTTATTTAAGTAGTTGTATAACTTCACTTTTATTCTCAAAAGGAAAAGAAAATGTCTTCAAATATATAAACTGTATAGTTTTCTACAGGGGCAGGCTTGAATTACGCCTCTTATAACTGAGAGTTTGAAGTGGTCAATAGCAATGAGATATTTTCTCTCCATAAAAAAGCAAGGGCCAGAATGGATTCTGGCTTTGTTTTATAAGACTGTAATCAGGTCAGGCGTGGTGGCTCACGCCTATAAATCCAGCACTTTGGGAGGCCAAGGTGAGAAGACACCTGAGCCCAGGAGTTCGAGACCAGCCTGGGCAACTTGGCGGAAGTTTGTCTCTACAATAAATAAAAAAACGGTAGCCAGGTGTGTTGGCGTCTGCCTGCAGTACCAGCTACTTGGAAGGCTGAGGCAGAAGGACTGCCAGAGCTCTGCAAGTCGAGGCTGCAGTAGCTGTGAGCAAGCCACTCTAGCCTGGACAACAAGACTCCAAAGAAAAAAAAATTCACTATGAAGACACCTAGACTTATGATCTATACACTTATTTTTGTCAAGTAAATACTGTCCTTTTGAAAAAGAACTTTTGGTTTGCTAAGGGCCTGACTAGAGAATGAATTCCTGGTCATCAGATACCTGAGCTGTTCCTCCTGAATTGGATGCTATGTTGATCTGCCTAGCCAGGAAGCTGGTATGCCCAGAAGCACTCCATCATCAAGTATAAATGGTAGATACAGGGATGGAAATTAACCAAGTCATGAAGGCAGAAGTAAGCTAAATAAGCAGGGTGGCTCATCCTCTATTATGCCAACTCCAGCCACTGTGCCAAGTCTCAATCAACCTTTACTCCATATGGCATTCCCTAAAATCATTTAACTGAAGAGGAAAAAAGTAGAGCCTATTTTGCAAATAACTTTATACAATATGCTGGCACCAGCTGAAAATGAACTGCTGTGACATCACTCAGAATGGTCTTGGAAGGCAGTTGTGAAGGGAAATACTCTTAGTGAGGGGAACTTTATCTTATTTTATTATTATTATTTTTTGAGTTGGAGTCTCACTCCATTGCCCAGACTGGAGTGCAGTGGCACGCTCCTAGCCACCACAGTTTCGAACAGCTGGGCTCCAGCTATCCTTCTGTCTCAGCCTTCCAAGTAGCCAGAACTACAGGCGCGCGCTACCATGCCTGGCTAATTTTTGATTTACTGTAGAGATGAGGTCTCGCCAAGTTGCCTGGGCGGATCTCAAACCCATGGGCTCAGGCAATCCACTTGCCTCAATCTCCCAAAGTGCTGGGATTACAGGCTGAGCCACCAAACCTAGCCGAGGGGAACTTTATTTATTTATTTTTTTGAGTTGGAGTCTCACTGTGTTGCCCAGACTGAAGTGCAGTAGCACGCTCCCGGCCACCGCAGCCTCGACCTGCTGGGCTCCTGCAATCCTTCCGCCTCAGCCTTCCAAGTAGCTGGAACTACAGGCACATGCTACCACACCCAGCTAATTTTTTGATTTATTGTAGAGATGTGAGGTCTTGCCAAGTTGCCCAGGCGGGTGTCGAACCTGCGGGCTCAGGCAATTCACTCACCTCAGCCTCCCAAAGCATGGGATTACAGGTTGAGCCACCGAGCCCGGCTGAGGGGAACTTGAAATAGTACATCTCACCGTCCACTCAACCCAGAAGAAGAGAGAACCTGAGCCAAGGATATAAATACTAATTCATCAGCAGTGGGAAACAATGGTTTGGCTGGATAATAAGGGCCTTGGAACAAATTAGAGGATGGCTAACAAGCACATTTGAAAAAGAGATATGTGGAACATTTCCAAAATTAACACTGAGTTTGATTATACTGTAGCGTAATGTGAACGTTCACCAAAAGAGTTCCATGACAAAGGAGGTTCTTGATGATCAGGTGGAGAAGATACATGCTCTGTGGAGGTCAGTGGCCAAGGTGACAGACATGGAGTTAACGGATTAGTCTACAACAAAGACATACCTCCACTGGCACAGTGCCCAGTCTGTCCAAAGAGGCAATCAACCCAAACCTAATAAGGTACCACATTTCTGGGACCAGCCCACCACCTTATGGTAGGTTGATTCCACTGGACTCCTCCCATGATAGAAGAGGAAGTGATTTTCTGTATTAAACTGAATACTCAATTAGAACTTGGATATGGACTCATTTAATATCTCATTCATTGCCATATATTCATATAACATAGTTTCGAGTTAAGGAATTCTTTTTTTTTTTTTGAGTTGGAGTCTCACTCTTGTCACCCAGGCTGGAGTGCAGTGGCTTTCTCACAGTCACTGCAGCCTCCACCTGCGGGGCTTAGGCAATCCTTCCAACTCAGCCTTCCGGGTAGCTGGAACTACAGACGCATGCCACCATGCCCGGTTAGTTTTATGAGTTATCGTAGAGATGAGGTCTCACCAAGTTGCCCAGGCTGGTCTTGAACCCCCAGGCTCAGGCAATCAATCCTCTTTCCTCGGCCTCCCAAAGCACTGGGATTACAGGCTGGAATTCACCACGCCCAGCCAGGAATTCATTTTTACACCTAAAAATATAAGGTAACAGGGAAGTGTCCATAGGGGATCACATGTCTTCCTATGTAATCCATCACTCAGAACCAGCCGGCCTTTGAGAAAGGTATGAAGACCCACTTAAGACTCAGTTGAGAGCTGGGCTTGGTGGCTCAGCCTGTAATCCTGAGCCTTTGGGAGGCTGAGGTGAGTGGTTTGCCTGAGCCTGCAGGTTCGAGACCCGCCTGGGCAACTTGGCGAGACCTCATCTCTACAATAAATCAAAAATCAGTCGGGTGTGGTAGCGCGTGCCCGTAGTTCCAGCTACTTGGAAGGCTGAAGCGGAAGGATCGCCAGAGCCCAGCAGGTCGAGGCTGCGGTGGCCGGGAGCGGCCACTGCACTCCAGTCTGGGTGACGGAGTGAAACTTCAACTCAAAAAAAAAAAAAAAAAAAAGGCTCAGTTGAGGCTGCATGGGCTCAGAACCAGTCAACAAGACACAGTGCTATTTTACCCAGAGCCCGAGAATCTGTTGGTTTAGAGGCACTAATACCCAGAGGAGGAATGTTATTGGAATTGTTTTCTTCTTTATATTTTCTACAATTTTCAATTAAATATGATTTTTTTTTTGAGTTGGAGCCTCAACCTCAACCTGCTGGGCTCCGGCGATCCTTCCAAGTAGCCGAAACTATAGGCACGCGCTACCATGCCCGGCTAATTTTTTTGATTTATTGTAGAGATGAGGTCTTGCCAAGTTGCCCAGGCCAGTCTCGAACCCGCGGGCTCAGGCAATTCACTCACCTCGGCCTCCCAAAGCACGGGATTACAGGCTAAGCCACCAAGCCTAGCCAAAAAATGCTTTTAAAGAAGCATTTCAGGCCAGGTGTGGTGGCTCAAGCCAGCACTTTGGGAAGCCGAAGTGAGAGGATTGTCTGAGTCCAGGGGTTCGAGACCAGCTGGGCAACTTGGTGAGACCTCATCTCTACAAAAAATCAGCCAGGCATGGTGGCTCATGCCTATAGTTCCAGCTACTTGGAAGACTGAAGCAGAAGGATTAGCTGAGCCCAGCAGGTCGAAGCTGTGGTGGCCATGAGTGTACCACTGCACTCTAGCCTAGGTGACAGAGTGAGATTCCGACTCAAAAAAAAGCATTTCAGACCAAGTACAGCAGCTCAAGCTCGTAATCCCAGCACTTTGGGAGGCTGAGGTAAGAGGACTACCTGAGTCCAGGGGTTCAAGACCGCCTGGGCGATTTGTTCTCTACAATAAATCAAAAAATTGGCCAGGTGTGGTGGCGCATGCTTGTAGTTATAGCTAGTTGGAAGGTTGAGGGGGAAGGACTGGCTGAGCTCAGCAGGTTGAGGCTGCAGTGGTCATAAGCATGCCATTGCACTCCAGCCTGGGCAACAGAGTGAGACTCCAAATCAAAAAAAAAAGCATTTCAATGTCCAACTTATCTTGGTTTGTTCCTCTTGATCTTGACAGGTCTTACATCTGAGTGACTCTGGAGGTAATGATGAAGGCAGTGACAATAAACATGCATATAGTACTTATCATGTCCAAGGTACTGCCCCAAACTCTTTACGTGCATTAACTCATTTCATTCTAATCAGTCTTATGAGGTATTAGCATTCAATGAGGGGACAGAAGCTGACAGAGCCTAAGGAACTTGCCTGAAGTCACACAGGGAACTGTGATGGGAAACCAGGTAGCCTAGCTATGGAGTCTGTCTTAATTTCTCTAATATATGACCTCTCATGCCTGCCATAATTCTAATTTAACTACTGTGCCATAAAAAAGAATTGTCATGCCAAACTTACCTGGCTAATAATGATATTTTTGACTGTGTGTCCTAATTTCCAATGTCCCAGTTCATGGCCTAGAACAGCAAGCACCTCCTCATTTTTACATCCTTGTTTCTTATTCTGAAAAAACAAATGGAAAATAAACTATTGAAAACCTTCAAAAGCTTACACCTTTTAACATAGTAATAGCTCTTCACAGATTCTAACTCAAAGAAATAATCAAAATAATCAGACTTTTGTGTAAAACTGTTCATTCTCTTAACAAAGCATTCCCTGAATCATCACTCCATGTGAGACACCAGGTTAAGCACCAATACAGAAGAACAGTGAATGAAATCTTAAGGATGATGGTAACAGGCAATCCTGGAACCACAGCAGTGCACCAGATTTGACAGGTAGCCTACCATCTAGAGTTGAAAAGAGCTCAAAAGCCAGTCTGTGAGGGCTGCCATCATCTATCCCTCTGTTACCATCCCATTAAACCTGATGAAACTAGTGGAAGATATATGCCACCAACAGGAGGAAGGAAATCAACATGAATTTCCACCTAGAAGAAAGGGAAAGGAATACCAAAGATGACCACAAAGGGACGTCTAATAAAAGAGCTGTATGACGGGAGTTTAGAGAAACCACTTCAAATATAAAGGGAATAAAGATCTCTCCCAGGGTATAAGAGGGCTGAGGAGCCTACAATTGATAAGGCTGATGATGAAACTAACCCTAGAGAAAAATATACTGGAAGAATTAGCCAAAAACTACAAAAGAAAACTAAGCACATTAAAAAAAAAAAAAGTAATTATTAAATAAGAAGGGAAAAAGGTAAGGAAGGCATGCTCAGTAGTGAATAATAATTGCATAGGTACAATAATGTAAATGCTGAATACTGATTTAACCAAAACTTGTAATGTGATTATATTGGAAGAATTGGAGAGAGGGAGAAGCCAAGAAGTTAGGGCAAAAAAGATAAATCTTCATCTACTGTAACTGAAAGTCAATAGTGTCAATAGATAATAGCATCCATGTATTACCTAGAAACATGGAGCGGGGCTCGGTGGCTCAAGCCTGTAATCCCAGCACTTTGGGAGGCAGAGGTGAGAGGATTGCCTGAGCTCAGGAGTTCAAGACCAGCCTGGGCAACTTGGTGAGACCTCGTCTCTACAATAAACCAAAAAATAAATAAATAAGCCAGGCATGGTAGCATGCGCCTGTAGTACCAGCTACTTGGAAGATTGAGGCAAAAGGATCGCCTGAGCCCAGCAGGTCGAGGCTACAGTAGCCTTGATGGGGCCACTGTACTCCAGTCTGGGCGACAGAGTGAGACACCAGCTCAAAAAATAACAACAACAACAAAAAGAAATATGAAATGTATATAAATGTCAGAAATAGCAGCTAACAGGATTGAAAATCCATGGGGAGAGGGGACTGGTGGGGTGAGATGCACAGGAAAGTGAAGCATAGGAAAGCAAAGGCAATTGTTGGAAATTTTAAACAAGATACTTGTCTTACTTTAATGAAGTAAAAACTAATGTTAAAATTTATCGGAACTTTGCTTCTCTTAATTTTGGTATAACATCTCAAAGCAGTATTATACAAAGATATCACATAAATACACATACAAAGACTAGGCCAAGAAAAATGAAAAATTAACAAAAAAGTTACTAACATTTGTTAAACAATAATGACATACCAGTTCCTCTGTGCTGATACATTACAACCACCATATACGATAAGAACTCTTGCCAAGTGCAGTGGCTCATGCCTATAATCCCAGCACTTTGGGAGGCAGAGGTAAAAGGATTGCCTGAGCTCAGGGGTTCAAAACCAACCTAGGCAACTTGGCAAGATCTTGTCTCTACAATAAATAAAAAAATTAGCCAGGTATGGTGGCACTCGCCTATGGTTCCAGTGACTTGGAAGGCTGAGGTGGAAGGATCGCCTGAGTCCAGCAGGTCAAGACTGTGATGGCTGTGAGCATGCCACTGCACTCCAGTTGGGGTGTTAGTGAGACTCCGACTCCTCCCCCCAGAAAAGGTAAGAACACCTATTACCACTTCTCAGATAAGAAAATCTAGGCACAGAGAAGTTAACTAATTTGATTACTGTCAAAGTGCCAGTAAGTGGAAAACTTGGGATTTGAAGTCAAGTAGTCTGATGCCAGAGACCTGTCCTTTCAACTTTTACACATACAATGATGATAAAGGTAAATTACTGAACATTCATCAATCTAATAAAAGAAACAATTTTAGCTGACACAAATGTAATCATTTGCATGTTATTACTGTACTGCATACAAATAATTAAACATAAGTGATGGGAGGTCATATAAATAATGAAGTATAACATTTAAAAAGCAAATAAATTATTTCTGTGGCCAGGCACAGTGGTTCATGCCTGTAATCTCAGCAATTTGAGAGGCTGAGGCGAGAGGACTGCTTGAGCCCAGGAGTTTGAGACCAGCTAGGCAACAAAGCGAGATCTCATTTCTACAAAAATTTAAAAATAAATTTATTTTCCATTTTATTTATTTATTTATTTTTTTGAGTTGGAGTCTCACTCTGTCGCCCAGGCTGGAGTGCAGTGGCATGCTCCCGGCCACCGCAGCCTCGACCTGGTGGGCTCCGGTGATCCTTCCGCCTCAGCCTTCCAAGTAGCTGGAACTACAAGCGCACGCTACCATGCCCGGTTAATTTTTTTAAAAAATTTATTGTAGAGATGAGGTCTCGTCAAGTTGCCCAGGTGCGTCTCAAACCCATGGGCTCAGGCAATCCACTCACCTCAGTCTCCCAAAGCGCGGGATTACAGGCTGAGCCACCGAGCCCGGTTTAAAAATAAACTTAAAAAATCTTTTTGTTTATATACTTTACAGAATTCAGTGTAAACAGTGACAAGACACAATGAACAATTTAATCTTGTGCACAGATATGCACTCACCCCCCCCACACACACTCATTCTTAGACACACACACACACACACACACCACACACCCTGGACACTTGACTCTGGCAATATTACTAAGTAGACAATCTAAAAAAAAATCCTTGAGCACCTAAAAACACTGAGAAAGTTACAATGGATATCCTTTTTTATTTTTTCTGAGTTGGAGTCTCACTCTGTCACCCAGACTGGAGTGCAGTGGCCGCTCCCGGCCACTGCAGCCTCGACCTGCTGGGCTCCGGCAATCCTTCCACCTCAGCATTCCATAGCTGGAACTACAGGTGTGCGCTACCACGCCTGGCTAGGATATCCTTTTAAATATGTAGTTTAGATCACTAGAAAGTAAGGAAAAACTAAAGTGAAGAATTGAACTGCAGGCCCCTTGTATGAATCCATGAAGGGCCATACCCTGAGCCAAGGAGTGGACTAAAAAAATATATATAGGCAAAGTAACCCAACTGGGAAAATTTATGAACATTCAAAATCATTATCTGTATGATCAGAAAACCCATAGCTCAAGTACGAAAGCACTTCCAGTTTGGTAGCACTAGGGACGACTGACAGAAGCAAACGTAAATCTTCTATTAAGGATTAGATTCTAAACCCATACAGCTCAAGATTCTTAAAAGATTAAAATTAGTGGTAAATTATGAGTTCACAATAAAAACTACAATACTCCAGAAGACAAACCACAATTAGTGAGAGTCAGCAGAAACAATAAAGAGCAGTATTAGCTATAATCCCAGCACTTTGGGAGGCCGAGGTGAGAGGATTGCCTGAGCCTGCGGGTTCAAGACCAGCCTGGGCAACTTGGCGAGACCTCATCTCTACTATAAATCAAAAAGTTAGCC